AGTGATTAGTGAGTTTCATTTGTAAATAACTATAGCTAAATCCATAGGGCTCCATGTAAAGACTTAGCCGACAAGAACAATTAAATTCATTGGGTTTTGATGAATAACCATCGTCAACAACAAAGTCTTATTTCATTAAGTAGGGTTAGCTTTATGAATCCTAATACGCTATTGAGCTTGGTTTTATGCCAAGTCTTCTGTTAACTTCAAGTACTCCGTATATTTTTCTTTGAATCTCTTTCCAAATCTTCCGCTACACTGATTTTATGCGCTTGTTGATGCCTGACCTAGACCATAAAGCATTGATGACCTTATTGCAATCCTATAAAAAAATTTCCTTAAGCTTTAGTGGTATTCATTGGTTGCACAACACACCTGATACACGATTTTCTACTTCATTCATCTAACTTGTATTCTATGGTTGACATTCCTATCCAATTCTCCATTATTTTGAAAGATAGATCCAAGATAATGAAAGCGTTCACTCTTTGATATTGGTCTACAATCCTTACCCCTAGCTATCGGACTCAACTTGCACTTCATATACTCTGCCTTGACAAACTTAGAAGGAGACTCTTAGATTCCCTCCAAAGGTTAAGTTTCGCATTTACTCCTTCCTGTGTTTCATCTATCAACACTATATCATTTGTGAAAAACATACACTAAAAGATATCATCTTGAATATGTCTCGTTAACTCATTCATATGAATGCAAAAAGTTAAGGACTTAAAGCTTAACGTTGGTGTAACCTTATGGTTATGGGAAGACTTTCAATTTGTCCTTCACGAGTCGTACTGCAATCTTTGCTACATCATATATATCCTTTATTGCTTTGATATATGCTACTCATACTCCTTTCTTCTCTAGAATCATCCAAAGAATTTCTCATGGGACCTTATCATACGCTTTTTTCAAATCTATAAAGATCATTTGCAAAGGATTTTTTTAATAACACCCCACAAATTATTGAATACATCCCACTTAAAATTTAATGTTAAATGACTTGTATAAAATGACTATTTAAACCCTTTTTTCTCAAAAAAACCTAAAATAAAAAAAGAAGCAATTATTTTCTTCCTACACCCCAAATCATGAAAAATAAAATCCTAAAACTACCCGTAAATTTATTTATAATTTTGTAGTTTGTACACACCTGCACTCACAATGTCTTGTCATTATGTTTTTTTTATTAACTGTTAAGTATTCTGCAACATAACAGACAAAGATATATTCTAAAATATTCAAATCTTCTTTGAGATAGTTTAGTGGTGTTTTTTTTTTCTTTTGCTAAATTTTTTTAAGCATGCTTGCTGTTTATTTCTTAGAATGGGTGGGGTTGCAATATCATTCAAACATGATTGTAGAACCAAATTTTTAACCTAGGAACAATAGGGTATAAATGGTCTCTGGTAAAAAAATGATCTTCATGGCTAAATTGGTAGTGGGCATTGAACTTTTCGGATTTGACATTTAGATAGATTAGTAAATTATGAGCTTTGGTAAAAAAAAAATGATCTTCATGGCTAAATCGGTATTTAAACAAAGCAAGTGAATACCATCATCCCTAACCAAGATGCCAACACATAGTCCCCTACGTTAACACAAGTCACCGAGAGATAGTTCAACATGTTAAATGAAAGCAAATGAGAAAGCCAAAGTAGCAAAACTATCTGTTGAACAAAAAGAAGGAAACAAAAGATCATTCCATGGAAAATAATGAAAACCACATAAGCAAGAATATAAACTCAGATCAATTTTTATAATGTTTTATTTAAGGTAACATATGCATTGACTAATAGAACTTTAATATAATAAGATTTAAAGAATGTGGGGTGTATGTGAAAATGTAAGGTGTATGTTGAGAATGTGGGGTGTGAGGGTATTATGGAGAAGTATATGGGGTGTGTTAAGATAATTTTTAGTTGAAAAAGTAAATATGGGGTGTATTAAGTATGTGGGGTTTATTCAACAATATGTGGGGTGTTAATATAATAAGCCCTTGCAAATCCTTATGCATATTTCTACATCGTTTCATCAATCTCCGTAATAGATAGATTGCATTTATAGTTGAGCGTCCTAGCATGAACCGAATTGATTGTCTAAGACTCGTGTCTCTTGCCTCAGTCTATGCTCAATTACTTTCTTTCAAAGCTTCATTTATGACTCATTAACTTAGTACACCTATAATTCATGCAATTTTGTGTGTCGCCCTTATTCTTGTAAATAGGCACCAAAGTATTTTTGCCGCCCATTTGGCATCTTCTTCATTTTCAAAATCTTATCGAAAAAGTTTGTGAGCCATGCTATACTGATCTCTCCCAAGATCTCCACCACATTTCGATGGTATCGTCGGGACCCACTGCTTTTCCATGCTTCATCTGTTAGAACATTTTCGTTGTCATATTTAATGCACATTACTTGATTCAAGTCTATTGTCTTCCTTTCCCTTACTCTAGCCAGTTTATAGATATCCAACTCATTTTCTTTGGTATTTAATCGCTTATATATCATCAAAAGCTGCTAGCTTCGCTTCTCTCAAGGCTTTTTTTTTGCTCCTTTTTTGCTATTTTATACCTCTCACAGTTTTTGCCGGTTTCTATCCTTGGATAAGGCTTTACAACACTTTTTCTTACCCTTAACCTTTTCCTATACCTCCTCATTCCACTTTGATGTGAGCAAAACCCTTGGACTTTCTTAATATTAATTTTGCAATTTTTCAAGTAAAACTAGCCATAGAATCCCACATTTGGCTAACGTTCCCCTATGTATCCCAAATGCATTGAGCGAGTACTTTCACTTTGAAAGTGACTTGTTTTTCTCCTTTTAGATTCTACCATCTAGTTCTTGGACAATTTATAGTCTTGTTCTTTCTTCTATCTCTTTTGATATGTACGAATTCACCAACATGCGATGTTGGTTAGCTAGGCTCTCTCCTGGTATAACTTTGTAATCTTTACAATTGATATGATCCCCCTTCCTCATTAAAAAGAAATCTATTTGTGCTTTTGATGACCCAATCTTGTAGGTGATCACATGTTCTTCTCTCTTCTTAAAGACAATATTGGCTAGAAAAAGACCGTATGCCATTGCAAAATCCAAAATGGCTTCGCCCTCCTTGTTTCTCTCCCCAAAACCATGGCCACTATGACAACCTCTGTTGCATGTCTCATTGCCCCCATGTGCATTTAAATCTCCTCATTTAAGTAACTGCTCCATTTGATAGATTCCTTAAACCAATTCCCCAAGATATTCCCAAGCCTTAAAACATTCCATATGCAAAACAAAAAGGGTCAAACTACATGTATCCATGTAGTTTTGAGGACATTGCACTTAAAAGGGTTGTAATTTCAATATTTACAGTTGACATCGTTTGATTTATTAAATATTTTAATTAAATAATAAGTGATATGGTTTCATCATGTAACAAATATATGGGAAAATATATATTTTTCAAAGTTTATTTAAGTCCAATTTTCTTCGAAATTGAATTGGACTAAAAAGCAGGAATTGATCTCCGCTTTTACCATGAAAATTTTGCATCGTTTGCTCCAGTCAGTCAGTGATAGTATCAATGGAGTATCTCACTATTGCTTGTATAAAAAGAGGAATTAAAAAGAAAAATATATATATTTAAAAAAAATGCCTTGATTAAGTGAATATTTAGAAAGGAAAAAAATTGATGAGTTTCTACTATAACTATTCAAAGTTCGGCCACATATTTGCTATAAATATTTGAATTGAGCACTTTAATTTACAGCCAGTCTTGTATCTAGTTTAGCAATTTTCCTGCTAAAGTCATGGTTAAGGAATATTATGATTTGTATGGGGGATTAGCCCATACAAAATCCCATTTCTCTATTACCCGTTTAGGTAGTTAACTTGCTTTTACTATTCATTCCGAATAATACTTACTTTTGTGCAACTCTATTTGTTGGCTAAGAGCAAAGGCAAGAGCGTGTAAATTTATTATTAATATTCTTAGATAAATAAAAATATTTCCAAAACTTCTAAAAAATATTAAAAAAAACCAACCTCATCCCCCATTGCGTTTCTCTCTTTCCTCATCTCTTTTTCCTATCTACGCACAACACCCTCCACTTCTCTCTCTGCACAATGAGAAATTTTTTATTGTACTCAGAACACGGGTGGTATACATCACGTGTTAATATATAAATGATGAGAAGTTTTATTTTTAAATTGTTAATTTTTTAACACAAGTATCTTACTACTTGTATAATGACTCGTAGTGTACACCTTGTATTCCGGGCACATTGAAAAATCTCTCCCGTACAACACATTCCAAAAAGGGTAATTCTAAGGAGACCAATTTTTTAAACCAAATTTTGTAAATTAAATGATATGGTTGTTGATGATTGAATTATTATTTAAATGTTGATTGCCGTGTTTTTTTTTTTCCTATTAGTAATACATCATTTAGTTTTCAAATTGGGTTTAAACATTCCTTGCATTATCCTCCTAGAAAAACCAAAACTAAATTCCTCCTCCCTACCTCACCATACCCTCCATCCCCAACCATTAAACCACCAAATCATTAAACCAATTGACAATATAAAAAATAGCTCAAATCCTTATAAGTTCATACCAAATCCCTTCTCCTATCAATATTGGATTCATTTCCACAGTTCAACATTTCTTTGTTGATCCTTTTGTAATCCTTTTTAACGATTCTTTGTTGATCCTTTTGTAATCTTTTTTAACTGTGCAAAAAAAAAAAAACATTTAAGAATTCATCAAAGGAAGTTGCCTTTTAAACTTGGGAAACAAGCTAAGCTTGTAAATTAATTAAAAATGGTGAGAAGAGAATATGGACGGAAAGAAAGTAAAGAAGAAAAAAGGGAGTTTGTGTAGGAAGCTAGGGGAGTGACGTCAAGTACTGGGGACAACCATCAACCCATGCGCAATCGAGCGGTCCTTCCCCTCCCTCCCCTTCCCTTTTATATTGTCTCCATCTCTCGTCTCCTAACGGAATTTCTTTCCTAAAACTCTCTCTCTCCCTCTCTCTCTCTCTCTCTCTCTCTCTTAAATTTTATTTATTTTCTGCTGTTGTTGTTCAACGGAGTTCTACTACTACTTCTTCTACTTGAATTTGTCTTCTTCTTCTTCGTTGCTTTCTGTCGTTTAACGAGTAATTACACCGACACCAAAAGTTGATCAGGTAAGTTTAATTGTTTATTTAACTACATTAGTCTGTATTTGAATGGAAAATTCCTTAAACATTTACAAAACGCGTATGTATAACCAGCGTCTCATTAGTCATTCTCAACAAGTAGGAATATATATGATCTTCTCTGCTTGTTCTTGGTAATTAAGACGACGGAGCTGATCAGCAGAAGGCCTCTCTCCCCCTCTCATCCATCAATCTATCCAAATGCATATTAATCCCAATTTCCAAACAAGAATATATGTGTATAAGATCCATTTCCCAGCAGTTATATGTATAGGTAGGGTTTCTTCTTGATCCTTTCACAAACTTTTCTTTCATTCTCTTCTTCTTTTCTTTTTTTGTTAAGAACCCCAGAGGCCAAAGAGGAAGAGGGAATCGATCTCAGGAAGGTGAATCCAATCTCTGATTTCGGATTCAGAGTTAAATACTCTCCACCACTCGAGCAACAAGTCCTCCTGCCGACACCTATTATGCTGGTTATTCGGTCAAGACTTGGTCTCTACACTACCCGATGAGAAAATTTGAATCATTTCTCTCATCATGAAAAATTATATGATTCTGATCTATTGATTTCTTGACCTAGCTATTTGAAGGCACTAGCTTGTCCCTTAAAGAGGCACCCATCAAAGTGGCATTTTACTCATGATCTATCTATTTGTTAAGAACTTGTAGAGTCTAAAGCTAGAAAGAGGAAAAGAAGAGGAAGATACAAACCTGGAGTTTAAGGTCAGGATTAACTATTTAAACACATGGATTAAGCTCATCTTGATGGAGTTTAATTAGCAAGAGAACACTAATGATGTTGAAAATGCATGCATGCTCTTAATTAATTTGTTCTTCTTTTGTATATATGTATGGTATGGGTCAGCAGCATTTTTGCTGAGTACTAGTCTATCAAGGAAAAAGGGGTCAGATATTTGCCACGGCAATTCTGGACAAACAGACAAGAAGGTCAGACTCCCCCGTTTCGGCAGTATGAAATAGTCTCTAGTCTCACACTCAGAGACTCAGAAGAGAATTTGTGGTCTCTCTTTTTCTCTTTTTGTTAACCTTTTCTCTTAGCAGGCTTGATCCAATCAAACGCTGTCGTCCTCCATCTTTTTGTTTCCAAACCCTTTTCCCTTTCGAGAAACGCATGCTTAATTGTGATCACGTCATCCTCCCTTTCTGTTTTTGCAACTCCCAAATTCAAATGTCCTCCTTATTTTGAGATTTTTTTAGTGTACACCGACATCCGTGGCTATTAAATTCTTGGTTACATATTCAACGCTCATTCATTCAGGGCATATTATATATTAGAGCATAGTTAAACTTTTGTTATTTTCATTTCTTTACCATTGGTGACACCTCAACGTACAAAAGAAAAAAACTATTTTTTGTTTTTGATCTTTAGGGTATATATATATTTGGGTCTACAAAAGTTAATTATTAAGTTAATAGTGTCATTATTATAGAAAACCCCGTTCTGATGCATCATTTCCACCATTCACCAGCACAAGACAACATCATTAGCACAAACCTCTACTTGTCCGTTTCTTGAGAGCCCCCATTTCCCCTCTGCACAAATAGCGAGCTCCAACTTCCTCTTCGTTTTTTTATCAAAACCAAACTCTATTCCTTTTAACCTGAGCAAAAATTAAATTACTTTATCGTCTCCGAATCTCTGTTTCTGTGGTAATTAATTAACTAATTAAAAGTATTCTTTTACTAATTTGTTTGTAACACGCTTTTATAATTATAATTCCCTGATCAAACCAGAAATGGTGGGGTTGCTCACCACCAAATGAGCTGATGATTGTCTCTGATAACACTTGTCACCTTTTTAATTCTCTGAGTCTTCATTGTTCCTGTTGTTTACATTTTTCATTTTCTTCTTCTACCTTTTAACAATTAAAGCTATGTGTTGGCACTTTTTTTAACGTTTTCTTCCGAGTTTTCATTTTCTCTAGCTAGCTAGCTCTACTTATAAGTTCTCATTGGTTAAGTTGGTGTGGTGGTGGGTACTAATGGCAGTGGTGATGAATTTGATGCAGTAGTAAACAGTACAAATTACCAACTGCGCTATGATGGAGTCAATCGAGTGTACTGTCCCACCCGGTTTCCGCTTTCATCCGACGGATGAAGAGCTCGTCGGGTACTATCTTAGAAAGAAAGTTGCCTCCCAGAAGATCGATCTTGATGTCATCAGAGACATTGATCTCTACAGAATCGAACCATGGGATCTTCAAGGTACTACTCACGAACTAATAGTGCATTGTTCGGGTTTCATCCCTTGATCATTTACCGGATCATGCTAATTAGGGTTTTTGGTTCTCATCAAGTGGATGTTTCTTATTTTTTTTTTATTCTTCTTTGTATATATAACCTTATACTAGCTCTAACCTTGTGTACTATTTTGCGGATTGATGGGTTGGTGCCGAATACATACTAATCCACATTACCTGCTGCATTAACGTTTGGTTTACATAACATGGATCTTGATGATCTTATTGGCATTAATGTACAGAGAGATGTCGGATCGGGTATGAAGAGCAGAACGAGTGGTACTTCTTTAGCCACAAAGACAAGAAGTATCCAACTGGGACAAGGACCAACAGAGCAACCATGGCTGGGTTCTGGAAGGCAACGGGTCGAGACAAATCAGTATACGATAAGGCAAAACTGATCGGGATGAGGAAAACTCTTGTCTTCTACAAAGGAAGGGCTCCAAATGGACAGAAGACTGATTGGATCATGCACGAATACAGACTCGAATCTGACGAAAATGGACCTCCGCAGGCAAGTGATCAAACCCATCATCATCATCATCACCATCTCTCTCTCTCTCTCTCTCTCTCTCTCTCTCTCTCTCTCTCTCTCTCTCTCTCTCGCTCTCTCACACACACACAGAGTAAAACCTAAACTTTGAACCTGTTTTCAAGGTCACCATGTCAAGGAATTTGAACAGCACTTGTTGACCTAGCTAATACTTAGGTTGATTATTTGGTTCTTAAATATTTGAGCATAAAATTGTACAATGTATCAAGTTTGGCATACCATCACTTTATGGACTAAAATGTCAATGACAACACTTTGTCTTTCCATGCTCGATCGTAGAAGATGTGATAGTGGCCTCTCATGACTTCTTCGTATGAGACTTATAGTTTTTCCAGCTAACATACACCTGTAAAATATTTTACAAATTTCTTTTATTACCGGCCCCTTTGTGTTACAAAGAAGGTCAATGGAGGAAGGATCGATGTTCGAACTGTTGACCCTTTTGTTTTTTGTTTTGTTACGAAGGCGAGTTTTGAATGTTGTTCTCTGGTCTACTTTTACCCATCACTCGACTTAGTGGCACTGACCTTCTATATTAAGATAAGTGCACTTTTGTACAGAAGTTTAAGGAGAAACAAGTGCAATATGGATGTGTAGATTTTTGTGTAATGCAATTCTAAAAAAGCAGAAACTAACAGATTTTCTAAAGGGAATAGTAGAACAATCTCACTTAATTTGCATGCGTAACTCGTAGACCAAATTTGCATGCGTAACTCGTAGACCACTTATGTATGCACTCTCACTTCCACCAACCCATCAAAGTCAAAAGTTAAAGCCTTCAAAAGCATGTTTTAATTTTCTTTCTGCCAATTCATCTTCCAACCTTGGCTTTCAGTTTGTCAAAAAGCAAACATCCATTTCTCATGCATGGCCATTACCTTTAGATTGACATCAAGTTACTACCTCTCTCTACCAAACAGAAAGAAAACTGCAAAAGCTAATTAAAGAAAATGCATGTATATGTATAAAGGTAAAAAGGGAAAATTTTCACTTTTCTCCTCCAGAAACATTGACCCTCTCAACCTATTTCCAGTTTCCACCAACAAAATGATTAATAATTAAATAATCGAAATCGGATAATTAATTATTTTTGTCTCATTTCACTTACAAATAAGTAATTTGGTTAAGTTTTTGCAGGAAGAAGGATGGGTGGTATGCAGAGCATTCAAGAAGAGAATCAGTAGCCAAAACAAAAGCATTGAAGGCTGGGACTCAAGCTACTTCTACGAAGAACTTAACGGTCTCACTTCCGTCGCTGATCCAACGGATTTTATGATCTCGAGGCAGCCCCAGAGCTTTTTAAGCCAGAATTTCATGTGCAAGCAAGAGACAGAAGCTGATAGTTTGAACTTCCTGCACTCTGATCCGTTTGTCCAGCTTCCTCAGCTTGAGAGCCCGTCTCTTCCCTTAATAAAGCGGCCGACCTCAATGTCCCTTATCTCTGAGAACAATACTGAGTTAGAAGACGAGCAAAGTATTCGAGGGTGTAACAATGCGGAGAAGGTTACTGACTGGAGGGCTCTGGACAAGTTTGTGGCTTCACAGCTGAGTCAAGAGGAGAGGTATGAAGGTGATGGAGAGGCAAGCTTTGGTGCACATGATGAATCAGATATGTCATTGTTGTTGTTGCAGAGTAGTAGTGCTAGAGATGATGATGATCAAGTGGAGAACAAGTTAAATGGGTTCCTGAATTCGAGTCCTGACTGTGATATTGGGATATGCATATTTGAAAAATAATGAAGCAAGAGGGACAACACTTGGGGGAAGGTAATTTTATTGTTACGCACGTAGGTATTATAAATGGTATAAGGGTTGATGAATGTCGATCCTAAGACATATTTTTGTAAAAATATGCTTGTGAGTGGATTTCTCTCTCTTTTCACACACACAAGGTTTTATATATGTAACTATGAGTACATCTCGCGAAAAATTATTGTATGGTATTGAAACACATTTACATAATAAAATCAACTTATTACCTATTATTATATGGAGAGAGAGGACAGATTTATGATTACGTGCAATAACATGGTCGCATTATTATATGAAGTAACAATTCCGATACTACACAACAATTTCAGCTGTCTTACAATTCCTCCCCGCATCACAAAAACAAAAAATGTTTCTAATTGGTCAACAACTCAAGTAATTGAGGATAAGCCCAACAGGAAAGGGTTAAACAATACCGATTAAGGTAATATACATACCGGCCATGGTGTTGATGGATAGTGAACACCATCATCTCTACGTATAGGATAAATTTTTAGAAAAATTATTTTACTTAGCAATACAACCAAGTGGTATTCCATTTTATATGTTAGTGAGATTTAATGATTGAATCTTATCAACGTAGAATTCGATTCCAATTTATTTTCTTAGCCCCTTACTGTAAATATATCGTTGTATTAAAAAAAATACTGAGGAAATGATTTGCACATTTTCTCACCCTACAACTCTCTTCGTTTTTGGCCTAAGTAAAGAAAAAGAGAATCAAAGAGATAGAAATTAACGAGAATGCATGTAGAAAGTAAAATGAGTGTGCAAAAATCATTTTCTAATTTATTTATCATCTTTGATTTTGAACAATAAATTATGGAATAACATTTCAGCTTATAGTAAAATTAGATGATCTTATTTAATTTTGAACAAGACCTCCATGCTTGCGCTGAGTATCCATAACCTGCATGAAATAGACCAGCTACATATTGCATGAGAAAGCCACATCACACACACTTTTAGTGACCTACGTTGCAATGCATGTTTGTAACTGTACCACTGAATAAATGTTTCAAAACTCAGAAACCCTAATTAGCTAAGATAGTTCACACATTCCATTCTATTGTACGTTCTTTTGTCAAAAATCTGATTAACTTGCAGTTCCTTCCATGCGTTCCTTGTAAACAAGTAGCGTCATTAGATTAAGAATGGTGGTATCTTGGTTGTCGGTATGGTGGGCCCAAGGGTTGTTCACTGTCCAGCATGCGCTGTGCAACGTGGTACCTGTTGGGCATGCTTTGTTCCTCATGGACATTTTTTGGCTCCTCTTTTGTATTTTTAGTTTCATATGCACATGCCCTCTATGTATTGCCACACTTCCAATTTTAGGCATGAGAAACTCCAGCATGCACTACAATCCGATGAATTTTAAATGTTGGAGTTCTTGTGTTGGATGAAATAATCAAATAAAAATTGTGATCTGGCTTTTGCATGACGTGGACCATTTTAGATGATACCTAGCATATGTTATGCATATTTAACTCTTTAGTTATGAGCAGCATCATATTTGATCTAAATATACTGAGTGAGCGGAGTATTCATTTTTTTGGAATATTGTAAATTTTCTCATTAATTTAGCTTGATGGATCTACTCTAATTAACTTCTTAATTGACCTTAGTACAATGCATAATTGGTAGGACCTAATTAGAATGGGACAATAGCAAAAAAAATGTGTTTCACTTTTAACTAATTAATCATCAATCAGTGTAAAGTGTAAAAGGCACTAAACGGAAAGCTTTGCAATTAGCATGATCCACATGTATTTCTAGAAGGCATTAACCGGAACCCTTGACAATTAATTGCACTTGAGATATATTAACATGTTATTTTACGTGGGATCCAAATGCACCTTAGCCATAAAAAGCACATTTCCACAACATTTGGTGCAATTGCCAATAGAAACATGCCAAATTTCAGCATGTAAAAGTTGATTATTACACTATCCTGTTGGGAATGATTACCATCAAGCTACTCTTATGATGAAAATTCTAAAGTGCAGAGTGGCTTCCGGTGAATTGGATAATTAACATAAACAGACGCATAATACCCAATATATAGTACTAGTAAGCAACATTCTTGTAACTCCTGAATCCTTAACTAATCGACTAAGATATTCTGACTTATTACGCCATTCTCTTTTACTACTTAGACTGACATCAATACCTAGATTTCATTCTAATTGACAACAGAGGAGGAACCAGATTCGAAACCCTAACTAAGAAAGCAACTAATTTTTTAACTCCAACAGTTAATTTGCCAGATTAATTTATATAGAATTGGAATCTTAACCATGTTGATGAAAGCACAAAATACTTACGACCAATAGAAAATTACCAAATTAATTAACTTATCCAAATAAATTTTATATATGGTGCTCGTAACTTTTTGTCTGCAACCGTTGAGCCAGTATATCACGAACACAGATGAGTTGTTCATAGTATATAGTATTGGACCCTTATGATGAGCTTTACTATATTTTATTTACTATATAGTCATTAGTATACATAGCAAAAACAATTATTGCCATTTGCCCACCCCGTTTCAGAAAATGTCACATTGAGCCGCCCCATAACATAAGCATGAGCTGTTAGAACATTCACGTTCCATCAAACGAGTGCATTGAAAACCAAGTTGATTCTTTAATTGAATACATAATCACCATTGCCAAGCCGGTCCCAAAAGCCAAAAGGGTATATATATTAATATATGCTTATTATTCTCAAAAAATGAAAACTTCAATCAAATTTTAAACTCGGAAGGGTTGAAGTGGTTTTCAAAAGGAACTAGAAAGTTTCAATCTTGGTAATCGGTTCTGTATTTGAGCTTATTTTTTACTCTAGTTTACAATTGGTCCATGAACTAAATATTTGTTACTTGAGGTCCCTTAATTTAACAAATTGTGCACCATTGGTTCACGTCATTGACTTTTGCCAACGTTTTTGTTAGTCTAATAATATGGCATACACGTGAGTCTCACATATCAAATTGTAAAATATGTGTTCCAAGACAAAGTCTATACTATGGTAAAAATTTAGGAACCAAAATCTAAATTAAGGTAAAAGTTCAGAGACTAATTGCGAATTTTATGTCATGCCACGTAATGAAATTAATGATAGAAAAGCTTACGGATAGACCAATTGCACACGTTGTTTTAAATTCAATGACCTCAATTAACAGATTTTTACTTCAGTGACCAAATCTAAACTATGGTGAAATTTAAGAACTAATTTTAAATTTTACTATTTGAACTTGTGACCTAACCAAGAGCTTCTATAGGCAAAGAAAATGATCTTTAGCTAGCAATCTAGCTAGCTTTTGAAGGAAGAGAGTGGAAAATATTGATGGGTGAAGATGGATAGCAATTAGTATTGGTTGACCAAAATAAGCTTCCTTTTGGACAACAATTATACCATAGGAATATTATGAGACCAAACCCAACCCTGGGCTAAAGGTCAAATTACCCCATTTATTCCCCCCCCCCCCCCCCCAATCCAATCCAAGCCAAATCTTTGGGCTAAATGCTAAAAGCTAAACCCAAGCCAAATCCCCCCCAAGACATATGTGTGGACTCGTCCAAACCCATACCAATCTCGGCCCGGTCATGCGCTCAACTCGCCCCAACCGGGCTGATGCTTTCAGCACCCTACAGTGTGGGACCCACTGTCAGGGCCGCTGTTGGCCACCATCATGAACCTAACAGCTCTTTTGTTCATCTGACGGCTGGCATTTTTGGACCGTTGGCAGTTGGTTGATCCAACGGTCCAAATTCAAATTTTTTTTTTTAAAATGTTACTTTAAAATACATCGAATCCAACGACTGAGATCGAATATAATCAAATCTAACGGTAAAAACAAAGTTCTAACGGCCCAAATTTAAACCAACGGCTAAAATAATTTAAAAAAAATATTTAACTCAAAATTCACAAAAAAAATATATATATATAAATACCTATGTATTTGTTCAAGCATCCACACAAAACTCACTTTTCTCCTACAATTCTTCCAATTTTTCTTACTACCATTTCTTCCCATTTCCAAATTTTTCAAGATGGCAAGAGAGCATATTAGAGGTCGTAATTGGATCTGTAAGGAAGATGTTGCTTTATGCTTGGCATGAGTTTCTGTTAGCGAAGATGGTGCAGTTGGCACGAATCAAAATAAAAAGGTTTTGTGGGATAAAATCATTGAAAAGTTTCATGGAAATTGCAATGATGGTAGGAGGGACGGTGGTGGTGTTTACGATCGGTGGAACACTATCAACAAAGCATGCACTTTATGGAAGGGAAGCTTGGAGAGAGCCGTGATTGACATGGCTAGTGGAAGGAGCGCCGCAAAAATTGTGATTTTTTTTTTGTTGATATTTTATTTGTCATGTACATAATATTATTTTGGCACTAATTATTTTTATATATTTTTTGCATAGGGTGACAAAGCAATGGAAATTTACAAGACAAGAGTAACACCAAAAAAATCAAGTTTTTAAGTTGCAACATACTTGGGACGTCCTCAAGGATTGTTCGAGGTGGGGAACTGATGCAGACTAACAATGGGGAAGATTATTTCAACGTGAAGCTACACCAACAAATGCCGGAGATGAATGTGTCAATGAAGGTGTTGATGAAATGACCCCAACTCCTTCTTTTGCAAGGCCCTCGGGAAGAGATAAGCAAAAGGAAGTAAAGAGAAAAGGGAAGTCCTAAGATCCGATGAGTGGACACATTGCTACCAGAATTGCAAGATTGAGTGAAACCCATAGCGCTCACCAAGAAGAAGCGGCTTGAATGCGTTTGCAAATTAAGGGAAGAAGGGGATAGGGAGCAAGATAGGTTTGAAATTAATTTCATGATGGAGGACCTCAACAAATACACTCCAGAGAGGAAGAAGTTTTTACGTGGTAAGCAAAAGGAAATTTTGCGAAAGTATGCCACAAGGAGTATATTTCAGGATGATGAATCATCTCAACCCTATATTCCAAGTCCACCACCAAGTCAAGATGGTGGATATCATTATTAAGTTTATGTTGTGTATGAATTATCGATTTTTGTATTAAGTTTATGTACTTTATTAATTGTCGTGTGTATTAAATTTATAGCTTATTAATTATTGTTTCTATTAATCTAGATGCCTTCAATAATTATTTTACTTATTATTCCACACTTTAATGTAGAATAGATGCCTTCAATAGTTCAACCTCCATTCAATAATTTA